TCCATACGAATGGTAGTAATTCAGTATTTTTTGCGAAAATCTATTTACACGCATGCGCGTCAGCCTGTCCCTGAGCTCCACACGACTCCGAACCATTGCATTTGCCAGATAGCGCGTTTTCCAATTTAAACATTCTGATGAAGAAAATGGTTTGAAAATGCTGTGGCAACACAAGCGGAACTATACAGCGATGCGCTCCGCCTTATTTCTGATCGATTAAGTTTGAGATATTGATTTCCACGTAATCGAGCCTCACAATTCGTAAGTCAAAAGACGACACTCGGTTACCGATGCCAAATACAGTGTTCCAAAAGACAGAACGCCTACTATTCCTCTTCAGTTATTTGTTATAAACATAATCTCTCCAAATTTTCCTCAGTAATTCTACTTTTACGTCATGGGGTGGGTACAACTTATAAGTGAAAATCGGAAGAACAATTTTGCAGATTTTTTATTTTTTTAAACCGTGGCGTCCTGAAAGTATAGGGACACTTGGTTTCAGCAGTGTTTCTGAGTTAAGTGAGTTGTGAAACCAATTTGTCACTGATCTACTTCTCACGCTTGTTCTACAGTGCCATGCCATAAGGAATGCACCTGCACACACTTTGCAGTTCGGGGACAAGGATATATGCCTCAGCACCGCAGCATTTCAAGGAAATTGGGACAATCAATGTCAACTGTTGAATTGCAGCACTTTCTGCAATAGGTAACGATTCTACGTATGAAAAGGAGCGGAGACCTTAGGAAAGTATTGAACGTGAAGCGTTGAATTTCCTGTGCTGCTCCAATCCATAAAAGTGTGGGCGCTGAGTCAAGGAATAGCACACGTTAGTCGACGAGTACGTCATTGTTTCAATCATTCGCCACAATCAGTTAAAGGCAAGTTTTCCACAGTGGCATGTTGACGAGCCGCGTATGAAACACGAGTGTAGACTCAGCTCACACAAGGGTCCTATCCACGGTCGATTCCACCGGTTCGGCCCCCATGTACCAATTGGCCGGCGTTCTTTCCAAGGATTCGACCGTTAAAGACGGTGGTTATTAACAGAACACCGAATGCGACAACGCAATTTATCCGCAATTAAAAACGACAACAAACAGAATTGACGAACGAAACGATAAAAACAATGATATTGATCGCAACAGTAGAGTATGACGATTGAGCTGGAAATGAGTTGGGTCGCGTTGACGAGTCCGTGGAGGGGTTGAGGGATCGGGTTGGTCCTGCAGTAGTCGTGTGCGAAGAAGAACCTCGGAGGTACTCTTCACCTCCCTTTATACCGGCAACTCCCGCCCGAAACGCCTCTTTGGTGGTCGATCGCTTGATGACCTATCCGGTCTTGACCGACCCCCCTCCCACACGCCGCCCCCTCGGGGTGTCGATGTCCACATCGACGAAGGCTCTTGCCTTTTCAACTCCGGTAAGGGCACTAACGCAGCCATTCTTCTTCTGATAGTGTAGTAAAGCATCTTTGCACATGAGACCGTACAATCAGATCCGTAGAAAGATATCGCTATTTCTGGGGCGCCCACCTCACACAGGATTCTGCCGTTTTCCAACCTTGTTCCTGACGCCTTGAAGAACTGTCCAGGTCCAGCACGTGTATTGATAGAGTCTTCCAACATCGTCCAAATGTCAACCATCTTTTTCCAAATCAGGACGTTCTTTTCCAGTACGGGAGGCCATACTGCTATCAGTCGGCCGCCGTTTTCGAAGTGCTGATCGCATGCCTTTACAATCGCACAAATCTCGTCATCCTTAAAGTTGGGATCGCTCGGCCAAACTATTATCCAGATCTTGTTGGTCGACCACTCGTTCAAAATCTCTCGTAGACCTTTGAACGTAGTCGCGACTCGAGTAGTAATTCCTCTTTTTGAACCATCCTTTTCCAATAAAGCAGCGGACGCTGGGGCAGCAAACGCCGTAGGTCCCTCCTGGATCGCCCGTTTGACTTTCTCCTCCTTGTCCAGGTCCATTTTCAGCTTTTTCAGCGCTGTGTCGTACGTGTGTTCAAATCCAAACGAATCAATTTTTTCGTGTTTTTTAATCCCCTCCGTCATGCACACGAATTCCGTCCAGTCAAGGCACTTATCATACGCCAACCTCAACACTTTTCCCAGGGCATCTTCATCCAAGCATGTTGCCCCGTCTTTCCAAAACTTGATTTTGGACGTCACATCGAGGTCAGTCCTCATGAAAATACTGGCGGCGCGCCATGCGTTCCACAAAGTTCCGAAAGGCTTCCTTGAAAATGTGCCAGGGAATTGTATATCCTTTAGGTCACCCAGCTTCGTGTCCTTCATGCATCCTTCTTTACACTGATATTCCAGGTGTCCGCGGTCATGTTTTGAGCGAATCTCGGCTCCTCTGAAACAGAAACAAGTTATCCTTTTTACTTTAACACCTGGTTTCCGTCCTCTTTTACCCCTGGTTGTAACTGTATCTACTCGGTCATCAGGGATATATGGCGGTACGACTCTAAGCATGTCGAATTGAACCCTAACAGGCTCAGAATTTTCTCCAATTCTACTTATCACAGCAGAGTTTTCGCTGGCTTCAAGCACCCGAAACGGACCTGCCCACTCGCACGCAAGTTTTGGGTGAGATGTTGAAGCCTTTTCTCTGGGCGAAAACATATAAACTCGGTCTCCCACTTTTGGAAGTTTTTTCTCGTCAACATTATTGCGGTTATCATACTCCTTTTTCATTTTTCCACGTATGCGCTCATTGTACTCTCTCACTCTATCGTGGACTTCAGCCACCGCCTGGAGCAACTGGGCTTTATAGTCCTCCCTACTCTGGTCCATCGTATACCACGAGATACCACCATTTGGTACCACCGCTGATGGATAGTTCGGGTCCATGCCGTGTAGAATAAAATAGGGACTCTCTCCCGTTGCTTGGTGTGGGGTCATGTTGTAGGCTAACATGCAGAATGGTAGCCTCACATCCCATTCCATTGGCACCACAGTGCTTCTCCTTAACATCGCCACTATAGTACCATTTAAACGCTCAGTTACACCGTTTTCCCTAGGATTATAGCCTTTGGTCGTGATATGCTCAATTTTAGTAATCCTAGTCAATTCTTCCATTACCTTATTCTCAAATTCTCCACCTTTATCCGATAAAATCGCTTTAGGCCAGCGGCACCCCTCAGCGATCCATCTCACAAAGAGAGTCTTCGCGACCGTTTCCGCTGATTTGTCCGCAACAGGATACGCCGCCGCAAACTTGGAAAAGTGATCTATCACCGTGACGGCGTAACGGTTGCCACTGGACGTGATACCGAGTTCTAATACGTCTACACCGAATAATTTCGTAAGGTTTTGTCGTCCTTATTGGTTTCAGCGGTGGTGTCATCGTCGGTCGCGCGTTATGTATGAAACAGCGCTGACATTCCCTGGTCCACTTGTGTATGTCCCGCGCCATAGTAGGCCAAAACACTTGCTTCCTTAGCCTGTTCAACAACTTGTGCGCGCTGAAATGTCCCGCAAATGTCCCTGCGTGTGCCTCATGAAAAACTTCGTATCGCTCACTTTTGGGAACGACAAATACTAGGCTTCCATCGCTTTGGTACATCTTTAGCTCTCCATTTTCTACGACAAAATCCGCGACGCTAACTGGGTTTCTCATGCACGGCCATGTTACCACACCCTCTTTGCTCCCGCTTCCTATCGCATCGAGGATATGAACGAAGTCTTCATCCCTTTCTAACTCTTCCATCCACTTAGACTTTTCCTGAGCCTTCAACGAATTTACTACAGCGTCGTTGAGCCCTTGCATGGATTCCACGGTGTCCCATTGCGCCGCACCCCTACTCAATGCGTCCGCTACCACATTGGTCTTTCCTTTTACGTATCTTATTTCGAGGTTGTAGCGCTGAATCTCTAAGGACCACCGTAATACTCTAGCCGACACGTTAGTTCTATTAAAAAGGGCCGTCAGCGGTTGGTGATCGGTCAGTATTACTGTGGGCAGCCCATAGATGAACATGTGGAAACGTCTGACGGCGAACACCACCGCTAAGGCTTCCAAGTCGGTAACGTGATATCTGCGTTCGGCCTTACTGAGCCCTTTGGACGCGAAGTACACCGGATGGAGCTGCCTATCGTCTCCTTCCTGGGAGAGAACAGCCCCCAATCCAACCGTTGAAGCGTCCGTACATATTACGAAAGGTCGGGACCCGTCTCTAGCCTTCTGTATATTGGGCTGCATAAGCACCGGAGATGTCGATATCATTTGCTTGACCTTTTCAAACGCATTTTCATGTTCTTGCGTCCACTTCCATGCCGTTTTCGGTGACGTGAGGGAGAACAAACATCCCACTACCTTTGCGAATCCTAGGCAAAATTTTCGATAGAAGGATGCCATACCCAAGAAGGTTCTCAATTCCTTCAAATTCCCTGGGGCCTTGTAGTTCACGATTGCCTCTACTTTCTTGGGATCCATGTGAATACCTTGCCTGTCCACCACGTGTCCAAGGAAGCTTACTTTTGTTTGCATAAGCACACACTTCTGTGCCTTGAGCCTCAACCCCGCTTCCTGCAACCTTACGCATACTTGCTTGAGCAACTCTATATGCTTTTCACGTGTTTCCGTACAGACTATTATGTCATCAATATAGCAGAAAACTTCCGCGCCTAGAAGGTCATGCAAAACTGTGTCCATAAGCCTCTGAAATACAGGTGGACTGGTACTCAAACCAAAAGGGGTCACCCGAAACTGGAACAGCCCCTCTGGCGTCGTGAAGGCGGACTTCTCCCGCGCCTCGTCAGCGAGCGGGATTTGCCAGTAGCCGCTACAGAGGTCTAGCGTTGAGAAATATGATTTACCCGACAAGCTTTGCAATACCGCATCTATTGTGGGTAGAGGGTACGAATCCAACTTGATTCTTTTGTTCAACTCACGATAATCAACACATAACCTTAAGCTCCCATCCTTCTTCTCAACTAACACAATGGGAAAAGCCCACTCTGAGCTGCTTTTTTCTATCACCTTCCTATTCTCCAAATCTTCTAGAAGCTCCTTTCAATTTCTTACGCATGCCTAATGGGACAGGCCTTGCCTTCATTTTGATGGGTTTGTTGTCTCCCGTATCGATATTCATTTCAACCACATCAGTCCCAGTAAGCTCTCGGTCACAAACAGAAAAGGCCTCAGGGAACTCGTCTAAGACCGATTCAATGTCTTCACTCAGCCTTTCCACTCTTGCTGCCTCTTGGATCTGTTTGTGGAGCAAACTCCTCCTTTCTTCCACACTCATTTCGGGGAGTGTGCTATCCAGCATGAGTGGGTTCAAGTCTTCCCAACCCTCACGCCACTTTTCTGTTCCCCATTGGCCTATCTCGTCGCCTTCCTTACATATTATGGGGTCATCACTATTGTTTATTATGGGCATGTCCACCTCCTGACCCTTTATTCTGTATACGCCAGCCACTATACCATTCTTACGAGGCCATAATGATGCGATCGTCCTTGCTGCTGTGCCCTTCACACCGAGCCGAGACAATGGCAGCCGCCCTGGGGGCAATGTAAGCCCTTTTTGCAACTATCACCTTCCCTTTAGTTGCCTCTACCTCGTCTTCCTGTTCTTCCGGCGACAACTGTAGGTGCACACCCAACCATTCCAGTGAATTAGTACCCAGCAGAATCTCTTCCTCCTTTGAGTCCAGCACATGGAATGCTACCTCAGCCTTTTTTCCTCCTTCTAGCTCTACAGCGATCTTCACTGCACCCATGGACTCAATGCGATTACCTGATGCGTCATAGACTGGGATCATTGCCGCATCATGTATCAGTTCCAGGCTATCGACGTCAAAGCCACTACTTTGCGCCTGGGCCAATACCTTTATTGGTATGATGCTGATCATAGACCCTGTGTCGAGAACCGCCCTAACTCGGGTTGACAGCATCTTGGCCCATGCTGACCAAATCTCATCTACCAATAGTCCTTTACCGGCCTCCTTAACTCGTATGCCAAGGCTCCGTGCCCTATGAATCATTTGCGACATGCTATCGTGACCTCCCCTCATTTCTTTTGGCTTCGGTGCCTCCGCTATCTGGTTAACCCTTGGCTTCTTCAGGGGGCAGTCTCGTCCAATGTGGCCTACTTTGGAACAGTTGTAACATTTACGCTGTTCCCTACTCCCGTGAGTGGGAGGCCTACTTTCACTCGCTACTGTTCTCAGCTCACGTCCTTCGTGATGAGTCAGTTCGCCTCTGAAGTTGGGTCTCCTCACTTCCATTTCCGGACTAACTGGTCGCCTATGAACTCGTTCAAATGCTTGGTTTGGAGCATTGCCTCGACAGCCACTTGTTCCTACCTCTTCTCCCTGATATGCTACGAAACGCTTTCGCCAGTCCCCTTTTTCTCCTTTGGGCCTGGTATCTGGCGCCCCAAACATCAACTTCGATTGCTCAATTGTGAGTGCCAACTGCTTGACGGCATCGTATGCATCTTTAGGGTCCACCCTATACAAGGCACTCATGAGCTGTATCTGCTCCGGCCAGTCCGACAAATTTTCAAGGAGTATTTGTGCGTACTCCATGGACCTATCCCTTACGTCACACGACGGGTTCGCCTGACGGCCCAGCTTCTCGAGTACTACACAAAACTCCGACACGCTTTGCCCTGCCCTACGCTTCAAGTTTCTCAGCTCAGTCAGCGCTCTCAGTCTTCCTCCTGCAGAATCACTCGCCATAAGCCTACCTAGTTCCTCCACCACTGCGTCGAAACCCCTCTCCTTGATCTCTCGGGGCAGTGACAAAAACACGCTCTTAGCCCTGCCATCAAGGTGGTCATCCCCCAAAATGTCTAAGAGGGTTCTCTCATCTCTGATGACCGAGCGGTACTTCCTACTGAACCTACGAATAAATTCATCGAAACACTCGGAACGTTTCCCTCTGTAAACCCCTGGGTTGACACAAGCACTAGCCTGCATCATCGCCATGAAACTTAATGCTTCCTGACCTTGATCCTGATGATGAGTGTCTTCGTCCCAGTGCTCCGAAAGCGGCTTCCAGTGCGGCGCGCAGGCTCTTCCAGTCGGAGTCGCACGACTTGTCAAGTTTGTTCTCGTCTGAAACAAATCGTTTTTATCCCGCACTGGCACTTCATTTGCTAACCAATTCTCACCTTCAGGCAATATCAGTCTCCATTGTTTCTAATATCGGGCTCTCCTTCGACTTCACCGTCCCCTCGCGAAGGCTTCGCACCTCACCAAGTACCTCGCGAGCCTGCGAAACATCTTTGTTAAATATGGCGCACATAGTTGCTACCACTTCACCATCTATTTCTGTAGTGCTCATGAAATCGTTCAGGTCGTCCATGCTCTCAATACCCTTTGACCGCAACGTATCAAACAGTCCCCTTCCAAACTGTCGATAATTACTCACATTCTGTATCATATCTTCTAGCATTTGACATGCTCCATTTATCTGCTCATTCAACACTCTTTCCAGTTGACCCCTATACTTCCCTGCAATTCTAGCTCCCTCCAGCTCTTCTTTAATTAGTTCGGGTATATTTCTAAACTTTCTCACAACTTTGGCGAGCTCCTCTCCCACTCTTACTACGTCAAAGTCTGATCCACTCACCCTGGTCAGCCGGTGTGAATCCTCGGACTGTTCACTGCTGGCCAAAGTCTGGCTCTGCTCCATATTCTGCAAATATAAATGGTTCAGTACTTACTACTAACTTTACGCCTGTAGCAATCACGGAGCAACGAAACGAGCTCGAACAGATCGAAGCACGTAAACGACAAACACAAGAACGCCTAGTCAGGGATTGCCTAATCGTCCAATCGATTCCGGCTCTAACCCTCTTATCTGTGTCTGTGTCCCTCACTTTGATCTACTTTCGATAGACCGCGGTCATTCCCCAGCCACTGGACCGCCGCACCTTAACTGATCCCTTGCTTCTCAGCTCACACAAGGGTCCTATCCACGGTCGATTCCACCGGTTCGGCCCCCATGTACCAATTGGCCGGCGTTCTTTCCAAGGATTCGACCGTTAAAGACGGTGGTTATTAACAGAACACCGAATGCGACAACGCAATTTATCCGCAATTAAAAACGACAACAAACAGAATTGACGAACGAAACGATAAAAACAATGATATTGATCGCAACAGTAGAGTATGACGATTGAGCTGGAAATGAGTTGGGTCGCGTTGACGAGTCCGTGGAGGGGTTGAGGGATCGGGTTGGTCCTGCAGTAGTCGTGTGCGAAGAAGAACCTCGGAGGTACTCTTCACCTCCCTTTATACCGGCAACTCCCGCCCGAAACGCCTCTTTGGTGGTCGATCGCTTGATGACCTATCCGGAAATCAGTCAAAAAGGTCAAAAAGCTTATCCTACAAATGTAATGCATCACTAACAACCGGCCGTCTTGGAAGGAAAAAACATGACCGGACAATGTTGCCGGAAAGGCGGAAGCTTTTTCTATTGACTTTCGCAGCTAACAACCTTAAGGAGAAAATCAGAATAAAAGGAGGGGATCCATTCTTATAGGAGAGGAGAGGGGAAGGTATTTATGTGGTGTGACTGTTCCAATCGCCCACAGTAGCCACATTTTTTACAGGGAGGGGGAATTCTCGGGGTGCGTGGCACCACTTCTTGTCAACTCCATAGTCATGCCGCAGTTTATTTCCCCTGCAAGAAGTGGAATGTATATAAGTGAACTATGGACGAACTTAGTTGGGGGGGGGGGGGTAGCTGCGACCGGCATGTTCACGTCCTTCGATGTGAAGCGAGTAGTCCGTGGACCAGGGGGTAAGGCCATGGGGTGAAGGTGAAGCGAGTCATTTGACAACGTGAAACTGGAAATTGCAAAGCTACATTATCTCGCTGGGAACGCGACTGACCCCCCCCCCCTCAGGAACAAGTATAACTATTGCACCACACGAACCCTCTTGATTGGAGGGGAGTAGTTCCCAAGGACAAAAAGCGACTTTTTCGCGCTTCGCGTGCGAAACATTTTTCGCTGTGGAAACTCCTGAAACATTTCCCTCTGCATTTCTCAAGTCCACTCATGATCAGCGGTGGACCTGAGAAATGCAGAGTAAAATGTTTCGCGGTACGAAACGCAAAAAAGTCGCTCTCTGTCCTAGTGAACCACAACCTTATTGGAGTGCACCCAAAAGGGAATTCTCTGAGCCTTTTTTCTTGAAGTTTTCGAAAACAAGGAACTGAGGGATAGCTCCCAATTCCTCTTGGCAAAACTGTAAAGTTGGCGATTAAAGCGAGCGTTTTGAACTCCAATAAAAAAACAACTGCAAATCCGATAAAGACGAGTGAAGATATCAGACGTACCTTTCCCTAGTAACAAAATGAGGAGTTCCGAGAACACAGGTGACGACCCTTCGGTCCGGGCTGCTTCAGAACAACTTGAGGTCAATTCCACTAGAATCGTTGTGGTGAATTTTTGTGGACGAGTTTTCATTCTCTTGCAAAGTAGATGACGCGATATTGCGGTATACTTGACGAAAAATTGCAGACGCACCGACTTGTGCCTTTGTAATTTGTAATAGTGGTAATGAGGAGGCTTTTGTCCTCCATAATTATATTACTTTTTTGAATTAGTGCAGATTTCAATTTATTTAGATCACATTCCAAACTACGTATATTCGTGCTGGTGTGAAAATCTCACATGAACTCTCATTCTGGAGTGAAATTCCTTTCAATCTCGTGCCGTTTTGGTCTCTCACGCAAAAACTTAAGAATACGTGATTAACATGTGATGGGTCTTGGTAGACCTTTTCCGGTTTCCTTATTGCTTTTATGTTTACGATTTTTTAGTTTGCAAATAAAACGCAGCAAGGAGGACGTCGAATCCAAGGGCACAAAGTAAGGGCACAACGCTGTGCCGAACTCGTGGACGCATGGCTTCTACGTCGAAGGAATCGTACGGAATTGCTTCTTACGCTATCAGCCGCCACAGAAAAAACAAAGTTTTTATGTGGCAGAGCCGAGTTGTGCACGGACGCGTGTATGAGTTCCTCGTCGCCTCAAAATTTAGGGTACGTCTTCCAGTTCGGCCGGTAAAACTGAATGGAAAGGTGTAGTGGTTGACTTTTGCAAATGGTCATCCTCTTAGTTACAAATGTTCTTGTGATTAATATTTCCCAATAGGAACCCCATTGGTATGTTTAGCAGAGAATTTGTCGCTATCATCAATTTCATTCAGGTCCCGGGGTTAGTATCGTGGAAATGTATGCACTG